TGTGTATATATATATACACACAGAACAACATACAATCCTCAACGGTTGTTAAATGGAGTTTCGGGGGGCTACATCCACATTTCCAGTAGACCATTGTCCGGTTTGCTTATGTTACTGGTATGGGCAGGCGTCACTAAAGTGGAGCCGAGGCTGCTCAACGGTGGAGTTTTCCATTCACGGTTTCTCGGATCATGCCTTGTGTCGATTGTTTGCTTGCCATTGCTTGTGATTGCTTTGGAACTGACATAGGCTTTTTGGCCTGAGTCGCATATGCGTCCGTGAAGATTCGCATGAGTGGATTAACGAGATACACATTGTCCATTCCTTCACTCGCATCCAAGGACACCATGTCAAACCTTTGAAGAGTCCGATTGCACAAGTTCATTCACACCTGAATGATGCCTCGCAAACCCGGTGCGTCCAATGACGGCTGGCGGCTGGTGAGATTTTCGGAGCGAAATACCAGCCCCAGAAGGGGCAGCCCATCTGAGCTCCGGCTGCACTGGATCGGACTGCAGCCATTGGCTTGTTGGAATCATGATCCTCTGTCTGACTGCATGAGACAAATGGATAGCTCCCGACACCGAGTGGTTTGGCTCCTAGTTGCTGAGGACCTTCGCATTAGGTGTTCGCTCTTGCATGGTTTCCCCACTGATTCAGGACCCACATCAGCAAGATCAAGCTCATCTCTACGAGTTGGATGGCGGGGGCTTCTTGAATATTGGCTATCTTGGGGCTTGGGGTTGCTGGCGTCCTCTGTTCCTTCTCTCCGTGAAGGCATTGGCGCCGAAGGGAAGGCATCGGCATCGAAATTCCTCGAGCAAGGCCGCTGTGGGCTTATGGCTCTTGGCTGTGGGGCTTTACGGATTTCTTTGTTGGATCGCAGGCCTCGATCGATGCAGTGGCCAAGACCTATCCATCCAGGGCATCACAGGGTTGTTGCATGACAGTTGGAGGTTCTTGGACGGTTCTGGTTGCAACCCTGGCATGACAGGTGAGTCGGCCCGGGCTCCTGCGAGAGCTCGTCGTGCTCAGAGGGACGATCCGACCAGCCAGCCCAAGCGGCGCAAGAAGAAGAAAGAAACAAGCGGAAGAGGAGATTCGGAAGCAAGCCCGTGTGGGCTTTGAGAAGAAAGGCTTGTCTTTCAATCAGCACTTTCAGTCCATACATGCCAGAAACAAAGACCGTGTAAAGGATCTGTGGAGCTCCTTCCTCCCTGCAGTCGGGATAGGGTCTGCTCTCCGTCGCGGCTCATGCCCCAGCTCCGAGACATGATGCTGTCCGAGGATGCCATGCAGGACCCATCTGTCACGCTTGTAGCCCCCTGGCTGCCAGCCGGCTCCCAATAGCTCAACGCAAAACAGAAGCCTCAAAAATTGCACTTCCTCAGTAGCTTGACGCAAAAGAGGAGCCTGCAAATGGTGATCCCCATGCAGTTACGGATTTTTGTGAAAGCTATGATATAGTTTTTTTTCATGCGTTTTTTCATCCCTGGGTTTATTTTTGTGATGTATATCTCTAGTTTTGATGATGCTTCGCCTAAGAAGACAGGCGAGGTCGAGGATAGCAAACTGAAGATAGCCTCGAAGGTTGGCAGCGGACAGACCTGGACAGGCCTCGCCTCTTCTTCAACGTATACCGGCATCGTTCTTTGAGACATGAATGCCCGGCAAGCTGGCGCAACCCGGCTGTGTTCCAGCAAGCATGTCGATGACGAGGCCTTTGAAGAGATCTTCTTTGGTCTGGGGTTCAACAGTGCAACGGATACTCTCATGAGGAGTTTCGTGGTGACCGTCCTGGGTTAGGCCAACAAGCTTAGCTTCGACATTCCATGGCACTCTGCTTGTTCGTGTCCGAGGATGCAAAGATCCAGCGAAACTCCTTCCGTCAGAGACTGCGTTTTCTTTCCTCGCAGAAACATGAGGCGGATTTTGGTGACCAACACGATAAAACACATGACATCATTGAGCCTGCAGCGGCGGCCACGGGCCACCCGGTTCCAATCCTGGATCTCCGTGAACAGGGCCGAGAAGACCATCCGATCAAGCTTCGAGATCTGGTAGAAAGCCGAAGACGAGAAACTGGCAACGCGCATGCACTCCGAGGCGGAGCCTCAGGACCAGCAAGAGGACGAGATTGCCAACGGGCTTCATGACAGTGAGGAGGGCGACCAGGCCCGGCAAAGTGCAGGCAGTGGAGGACCACGTAAAGGCCAAGAGTGATGCGCACGTATAATATATATATATATGTCCAGCACAGACCGCGCTGACAGGGGAACGCCCTGGCACACGGCACAGCGTGCAGTTGCCAGGCAGTGCGGCTACGAGAACGGTGGCCGCATGGCACGTGCGGCGGCATGGTCCCTTGTGCAAGAGCGAGCCCTGAAGCATGTTGCCAGCTCCGTGGAGGGGTCTGGGGCTGGCAGTGTTCGGATGCTCCGTCATTTCGTGCCGCTAGTTGGGAAACCAGGGCCTTAGCTCATCTTCTATCTGGTCGAGGGCAACACCCTGCACTCGGGGGAGCGGTCCTCTCGGTGTATCGCGGTGCGATGATGAGAGGGAAAGCTCAGGAGGATGTGTCGAGGAAAATGAAGGTAACCAAGGCGGCCATTCACAGATTGCCTCCGAGCTCTGTTGCAAAGATTCGTGTGTGTCACCTTGCCAAAAGTTCTTCGCCTGCTGGCTGAGGTTTCGCCAGAATCCATGCAGCAGGCCGCCAGTAAGATCACCGCTCTGCTCTCAAAGGCTGCATACGACAAGCTCCAGGTCATTCGCCTGAACCCGGCTGCCTTCGTGTCGAAAGCTGATGCAGCTCCGGGTGATGATGATACAGCAGCGCCTGATGTCGCTGATGCCGATGCGAAGGTGTACTCATCAGCTGATTTCACCCGAAGCATCGCTGGGAGTAAATGCATGGATGCCTTCTTGAGCTCGCTCCCGAAAGTTTGGGCCAGTTGTGGGACGCCCAGTCTGAACGATGTGGAGCAGATGACTGCGCACAACTAGCTGCATCCCTACAGTCATCTGTGCAAGCGATCGCCCGAGTATCTGGACATCAAGCTGAAAACTCAGACACAGACCGCACGGCTTTCGGCAAGAGTGTGGTTGGGATGTTTATCCGGTTGGTGCCGGAAGGCGCTATGAAGGAAGCGAGGAATCGTGTGCAGAATTTCTTCCATGAGCTGATTCCGAGTGCCGTTTTCAGGGTTCGGCTGTGTTCGGCTTTCTTCTGTGTCACAGAAACGTTGGCGAGACCCAAGGCTCCGCACGAGGTGACGATCGCCAGAGTCTCACGAGGCAGGGTGTTTATGGGTGTTCTCCTGTGATTTTTTTCTGGCATCTCTGGCCGGTGTCACACTGTGCTCCCGACGTGGCCGGGGGCACAGACCCAACCGAATCGGCAGGGCCCGACGCAACAAAAAGAACCGACAGATTGAGCTTTGCCGCTGATTGCTCCGCATGCATGCTTGTCAGACCTCGTCACAACATGTCTACATTGGCCTTCGCTTGTAGGGGGCGGGGGCCCGAAATGAAAGAGGCCTCCACCCCCCTCCCCCCAGCCCCTAGCCGTAAGTGATAGGGTTATATAGCCTAGGTTATATATACAGAATAAACAAACAAACATACATGTATATATGTGTGTATATATATATTATATTATATATATACACACACATACAGAACCGTGCTGTGCCGCGCAGGTAGCCTTGAGCACTTTCGCCTTCGTGCCGCCAACCAGATCAAGGCTACTTGTCCAGCTTTTAGGTTTCGGGCTTCGGTTTCGGTCTAGGGCTCGGAGTTTAAAGTTGCGGGACAGCGTGCGAAGGCTAAGGGTTAGTAAGGGTTCAGGACTCCAGGTCTGGACGAGACTCAGTGCACGACCGTGTTATTAAACTGTTCGTAACTTTTTTTTATATATGTTTGATTTTACGTTGCATCCCGGTCCTTTTACGAATATGACGATGGGCTGTTTAAGCTAAAAGGCGGTCTATATTCAAGAGGATATGAAGACTGTCTTACTG